CTAGAAATACTTTTACACTAAATAACAATTATTCCGAGGTCAGTATCGGTAGATAAAAACAGATCGAGTGAGTCCCATTCTTTGGGTATAAAATCTTATTTGACGGGTCTAGTCGTCAATGCAAATCAACTACGTTGTTTCAATATCTGACAAGTACATGCAATGACCTTCAACATTATTATGAACGTAGTGCAATAGAAATCGATTATTACCAACTCGCGCAGTGGCCATTTTAAATCCAAATCTTTTCCATGATTATCTCGATGATACGTCGTCATTGTCATATTTCAATTTAACAAACTACTATTTACGAAAACTTAACCGTTTACCGTCTTGGCTATCGATCAATGTACCTCCTTATTCTCCAACACTTACCCTTATTTTGTGAACATAAACCAACAAAATGCTGGTACCACCCAAGTAAAATGTCTATCGATTTCTGCACAGATTGTTGCAGGATATCGACAGACTTTTCATAAATTTTTGCAGCTTTACTACAGGAAATTGTTTGCTAAATATGCATCGAGAATTATTTATAAACACAAAATTATCTTCAGAAATTTTATTAATCTCTGCAAATGATCTGTAGAAACATACACGGGTTGAGAAAACGTAACCTGAAGCCTACCCGACTGTCAAAATATCGACCCGAATCCGAACCGACTCGACACACAGTACCATCCGAACTCGATCCTAGGGTTGAGTTGCAGGTGTCTAATGATCAGTGAAGAGCCTTTTAACATTTTGTAACAATCCACGACAGATCTGTGTAGATTTTCGCAGGGTTTATCGCAGGGTCTGTTAGAATTGTGGGACAAATCTTATCTACATGCTGTAGTGAATTTGCACGCGTTTTAATAATTTTATTCAGATTTCTTTTTCTAGAATTCTCCTGGAAAGTCGTATAGATTCAACAATGTCCAGTGCCATTTGAGATCCATTTTGCAAGCACTGAGAGATTAGAATCTAAACCTGATCATGAAAAACAAGAAGAGTGTATAGAATTAAGATCGGAATGTGTCACATTTGTTAATGTAACAGATAATAATCACTTGAGTGTGGCAAATAAAAAGGAATTTTCAACACAAATAAATTCATGGAACGATATTTGATTTCATTATACCAAAAATACGTCTACTTTTCAAACTGTATGAAAGTCGGTACAGTTCTCGTTATTTTCTTTTATCAAGTAGTCAAAAAACTCAATAGTTCCAGCAAAGTACTCAAATAAGTTCTACCCAATTGTTTTCAGTTGTCTTGATTCCATAAGTACTTCATGACTCTAGTCACACATTGCATTTTAATGACTACTCAGAAACTTGAAAAGGTTCAAGTGAATGCTAAAATGAGTTATTACATACATATATTTTTATTTAGTCAAAGTTGTTACTAATACAGAAATGATGCAAGTATGGAAAAGATGTTTTAAAATTGGTGCCATCTCATATGAAGAAAAAGCTTTCAAACATACATACCCTCACTCAGTGATCGTGAAGCATCGTAATAAAGCGTCTCTTTGATTTATACAAAACCTATATCAGATCAGATCTATTTCAAAATGTCTTTTCTATACTTCCATCATTTCTCGATCAGTAACAACTTTGGTTAAATAAAAATATATGTAGGTAGTAACGTATTTTAGCATTTATATGAACCTGTTCAAGTTCCTGAGTAAATAAGTATTCTTCAGGGAGTCACATCAATGGTATAGGACAGATAAAACTTGTTTCATTAGAATTTTCAAATCAGTGAGACGGTTGTGGTGCAACTGTTTGACTAGAGTTCGCTGCAATAACAGTAGAGCACAAAAAAATATAATAAACTATAAGAGATGTAATGTTGTATGATTAGATAGAAAAAACGGACTTATTTTGTTTCGTTTTTTAGCCTCATAAATTTATTAGTGTATGAAATAAGCCCATATTTTCTATCTAATCATTGAGCAAGAGATAGTGCTAAAACATTTTCTGTCCGCGTACTCTTATAGAATTTAAATACTAAGTAAGATATGATCTTTTTATGTCAATATCTACTTCTTCTACATCTCACACTACCGAAAAAATAGGCTTAGCGAAGTGATCCATCCCCTACTCTCAATAAAAAATCCAGTATAAAATTATTAACAATAATAGCCCTAATTTAACTGTATCATATTTGAAACCTTGTGCAAAACATATTGGACGGCTTGTCCAGCTAACGGTTTCCTTTTTTCGCTCTTTTTCAAAGAACTATGGCAATAAAGTTAGAAAGTAATCTAAAATTACAACTAGATAATTGAGTAGATTAAACATTTCTCTATAAAATGAAAAGTGTCTCGGCTCTGAACGTTGATTCGTTATGAAAATACAGCTGTTGTACAAAAAGCCCCCAAAATCGATGTTGACGCTATCTAAAAAGCGTATCTAAAAGAGTGAAGACGAGCCGGAAAAATTAAACAAGTATACCAATTTGTAGAAAATTGTTTGCTCTACAAGATGTGACTGCTTGTCAAGTTCGAAACTATTCTAGTTAATCTGTATTAATCAAAGAAAAACCGTGACGCCGTGATACTTTTGACCGTTTTTTGTTGATTATTTTCTAACTTTATTGCCATAGTTCTTTGAAAAAGAGCGAAAAAAGGAGACCGTTAGCTGGACAAACTGTGGGATTTCTTCCCATAAAACTCTTTCGTATTCCTTACATTAATCATACACAATACTTATTTTGAATACTCATGCATCAGTCGCTTATTCTATCTTTAAACAGTCACTGTATGATAGATGATATAAAAAATGACGACCATATAATAATTTTTTATTTTTAATCAATTGAAAATCCAAATTCATTTACATTTATTATGAAATATTTTCGAAACGTAAGTGCTGATGCTTCATTGAATATTCTAGAAATTAAGATGAAATACTCTTAACAAATTTCAACTAAGTTATAGTATCTTGGCCTTAATAGTGAGTATAAGAGGGACATAAAGGTAAAAATTGTTTCATCATAAATTTTGTTAAATAATGATCTACAAAGATGAATTTTATTTCTCTAGTTCTTCTTTTCTAAAATACAATCGAGAAAGATTTAACAACTCTGTTATTACAATCAAGAGAGATTTGACAACTCCCAATGACAATAATTTATTACCTGGTAATAAGAATCAAGACAACTAAATTCATTATCGCCTATTTTTTTCTTTCATTCTCTTGGGTATCTACTATCTTATTCACTAATCGTTTATCATCACTGTTACGCTTGTCAAACTTATTACCAAATGAAATTCTTTATGGTATAAAACTAAAGAAAAAGAAAAAAAAAAAGATGAAATTAATATCAGAAGAAAGAAATTTAAACTTTTCTTAAGCAAATTTTAACTTCATAGATAAATATTTAATCCGAAATAGTCTACCATTAATACAAATAATAATAATTGTTGGATTAGATATCTATCCGCGGTATTTCACTATTTTGATTTTTTTTCAATAATGTTTATTAATTATTTATACTTTTGACTTTTCTTTCATTAAAAACGAGACGTTCAAATGACAACAACAAGAACAGATAAAAGTCTTCTCGATCACTTGTTATTGTTCAATTTAGTATTTATAAGAATTGTTGATGTAAGAAAAGATAATAAAGAAGAAAACGAGAAAAGCTAAAATTATTATTAACTACGCTATTTCAATATTCCGTACATTTGACAATGAGTTCTATACGAGCAAGGTACGTATGAATAGTCAGATTTCAGCTAAATGAAGATAAAGAGTGGCCCAGAAGTCCTGACCCGATTTGAATAATAAATTTTTCTATAGTGAAACAAGTGATAGTAAATTTGTCTCTATGAAGAAACGATGCAGTAAAAAACGCTCTACAATATGACTATTGATTGACCCTGTTAGCTCATCTAGTAAGAATGTTATAGGCTTAGAAATGTGCTTCACAAAAAAGAAAAATCAACCGTGAATTCGGTCTCGGTATTTTTGGTTTAACTCCTGTTCCTTAGGTCGTCCCCTAGAATAAGTTTTTTTTTTAAATAGAAGCGTCATGAAATTCTCTACAAAATCCGTACCTAAACTTTAATTTCACAACTTCAATCAAGAAAACTAAACAAATTATACACGAGGCGAAAAAAATAATAACTTTGTAAATTTGGTTTGTTTTACTTAACCTTCTTCTTCTCCTATTATTTTCGTAAAAAAAGCGGAGCAAAAGCGACAACACAATTTGTGTTGGGTACTTTCAAATGTGCTCTTTCTTGTGGTTTGTAAAAAGACTTTTTAGAGCAGATGGTGTGTGCTCGAGAATCAAGTTTCAAAAATATGTCAAAAATCGACAACCCCGTTTCGAACAGTGTATCCAGCAAGAAACGGAAAACATGATCGAAGTTTTGATGTTGCAACTAGGTAGAGAAGAGGAATCATTTCTGATCAAAGCAAAATAAATCCGATAGAAAAACGTTTTGTTTTGATGAAGTTATGGGACTTTTACTGAAAGCACCACCATATGGACCGGGTTCACGGTTGATTTTTCTTTTTTGTGAAGCACATTTCTAAGCCTATAACATTCTTACTAGATGAGCTAACAGGGTCAATCAATAGTCATATTGTAGAGCGTTTTTTACTGCATCGTTTCTTCATAAAGACAAATTTACAACCACTTATTTCACTATAGAAAAATTTATTATTCAAATCTAGTCAGGACTTCTGGGCCACCCTACATAACAGAAAATCATTGCGATGATATTGATATCCATGTTAGCAAAATTGTCTAACTTCGGTCAATGAATCACGTTAATAACATGGGTAATCACTTTTTCCTCTTGTGTTTTTAAATTCAAATAAGAATAATCTTTCTGTGTCTATGAATTAAATTTTTTCTAAATACTTTTCATTAAATGAATTCAACTTAATTATATCTAAAATTGTATTATCTCCTCAAATTGTAGTTTGGCTGCAATTGAATATTTTTATCATGATTATTATTTCAATCTATTTTATCAATCGTTATTCTATCCTAACATGTTTGTACAAGATTTTATTTATCGAAATATTTTTCAATTAACAAATTTGGATACTGACCATTCTTATCAAAGTCGTTGTTGTACGAAGACGTCTGCTGAATGTTGTTCAATCATTGACACCAATCATTCAAACTTATTATCGGATGCATATAAACCAAAAATTATCAATGATTTACTTCCAGATAAGCATTCATCTACTATAACAACAATATCACCTTCGGTTAATACTACATCTTCCAGTTTACTAGAAAACTTATCCGAACGTCGACATTATCATGCATGTACAAAATGTTTGTATAAAACGAATCGTTTAAATAATTTAAAACGACACATATCTACAATGCATCAGACACTAAATCGGCCATTAGATTGTTGTGGACAACAATTTGAAAATAAAGCTTTATTACGTGAACATATTACAAATAATCATCGTCGCGGTTATTCATGTCTAATTTGTTTTAAATCATTTTGCAGAAAAGCATTATTAAAACGACATCAAACCGTGCATACAGGTGAAAAAGAATTTACTTGCAATATGTGCAATTATGCCACAAGTCATAGGGGAAATCTCGATCGACACTCAAGAGTTCATCTAAAACGTGTATTATGAAGAAAGAACTGAATAATTAGTTTATCGTAACATATTTTCTTTAATAACTATCAATCATTTCACTAACCACATTGGCTGAAACAGACGAATTAAGTTACAATTTGTTGTCTGAGAACTCTTGACTATTTTACTTTAATATTAATCAAAATGTAGAGACCTGAAACCAGATTTGACTATAGGATCGCGTTGAACCTTTTATGATGCAATTTAAAATGTGAATAATAATTTCAAATTTGTATTATTCTTTGAAAATGAGTTAATAGTTAAGATTTATTCAATTTCAAATACCTTATTTGAGAAGAACGACATACAATAATCTCATTGATTATTCCTTTCTCTAGATACAAGGGAAAATTTCCTGCATTTATATCAACGTCTTTAAATTAGAAACTTGGGGGTTCGGATCGCTTTATGTTTTTTGTTACATTTTCTTAAAATGTGCAGGTTTCGATCAAAATATCACCGTACTTCGGATAAAAATATTTAAGATCTACTTACATGTTTTTTTGTGTACTATATTATATTAAAAGAATGAATTGAAACTTCAAGATAAATTTGGAAGGAAAACGTGGAGATTTCTATAAGATTTTCATATAGAGAACTTTCGCATACAGATCTTTGACTTGACGCTTGCAAACGATTCTGTAGAAGTCTTTTTGAAGAAATCTGGAGAAACGCATAGAAAATAGAAGCAAAAGTTCATTAGAGCACAGAAATAGGTACGTCCGCTGAACAAATTGTCTTTATGCTACGTTTTAAGTTGCTTGCTGCGACAGAAGTGCATGCAATGCCTCGGGACGTGACCGCGTTATCATTTTTTTTATTCTGCTTGGACTTTTTACATTGTTTGTCGTGTATTCGAGTTTGTTGAATAGATAATAGAAATGAAGAAAACTTTCCATAAACAAACACAATCCTCTCTATAGCGTGCTTAGAAATGTAATCTTCTCCGGGATTTTCAATAGTTAGAATACTTACATTATCCACAGGTTGTTGTCTACTGCTCAGAATAATTAAACAAATTGTTGAGCTACTGTTTCTCATCTGGAGCGTGGCCCATCTAGCGTGGAACACTTTCAAGATGTATGTGCAAATTAAATAGATTTTAAGTCTCTCCCATCTAAGAGTTTTGCGGACAAAAAAAGGGACTAATCGACATTCAGGAGAAAGAATCTCCTTGCATCTAGTTTTCTAGTCTTGCATGCCCCTTGTAATTATCAATGAAACATTTATTCAAATGGAGAATTTTTTTTTTAACATTCATTATGCGATTTTTTGCAGATGACAATTGTGTATAGGAACATCATGATAACACGAAAGTCAATGTTTTTCAGTCTATATTAACTTTTGGATTTATGTGAGAATAAAAAAGATCATTTAAATTAATTGAGATGTAAACTATTATATAATATGACTGAAACTGAATGGTACAGTGCTGAACAGTATTCTTTGAAAATGAACGCGAATAAAAATCTATCATAACTCTCTGAGCAAATAATACCTAGAAAAATAAATGGAAAAAATAAAATTATTTTCGATCTGGTAGACATAATTGTTTTAATATTTGATTAACACGTTCAACAGCATCTTGATTATGATTATTGTCATGATGAGATTTTCGATCCCTTATGACATTTTCAATTGTTGTTGTTGCTAATAATGGCTGATGTTTTTGTAATGTCGATAAGGGACGTTTTGAATTTCGTTGAGTCAAACGTAACCATTTTGATTCATTTTTCACGAATGGTTTTAGCGTATTTGGTGCTGTTTCAAATAAAGGACGATAACGATCTGTACTAGTATTATTGCCAAGTACATCTGTCTGAGTCTCAAAAAATCTTGTTAACGACAATGTATCGGGTGGCAATGACATATTTAATGATTCGTTTCGTTCTCTTTGACGGGATTTACTAAAATCGAGTAGATTGGGAATACTAACTGTTGGAGATTGTAAATGTTGTGATTCAATTTGATGATTGTTACCATATTCCGTATTATGTCGATTTATATCTTGTTGATGATTATCAACTCTTGAACGATTACCCATTGGACGATGTGTACGCGGATTTCGTAATGGAAGTGGTTTGAAACTCATTGTTGATTGATGTAACAACGCATTTTCTGCTGGATTTTCATTAATATTCAATGCAACAAGCGATGCGGTTCGTTTTAAAGTTACGCTAGAATCTATACTTGATGTTGTTTGATTAATTTCACTTGAATAGAATAGAATACAATTAGAAAGGTAAGATAAGTAAAACATTTTCAGACTAATAAGTTAACTTCATTTACGTACCGACATGGATCTTTATTAGAATTATCACCTATAAAAAAGGAGAGAAAGATGATGATTCTATGAAACAAGAGTCCGGTACCTGGATCATCAGTCTCATAACCATCCGTCTAAATAAGAAAAATATTTCTTACATTTGTACGAAAATTTGGTAGAAATTACCTCTTCTCGGTCATAGTGAATATTATGTTGTGCGGCTTGTGGAATTACTCTCTAGAAGTAAAGTAGAAAGAATTTTCACCGTTAACTATTTACGAAGGCAGAAAAAAAATTACTCTATGTCGTCGTTCTTGTGCACGTTCGGTTGTAAATATGGGCAATCCTCCACCAGATCTTTTGGCATATTTACTTTGAAATAATGCGCCGCGCGGTGGTATCACTCTCGAGTTAACTTCAGTCTAAAAATGATAACAAACAACTGCCATTATCAATGATTTTTATAAAGATATCAAACATGTTTTTAAACTTGAAAATTCAAAAGCATTGCTATTCATCTAACATATATACTTTAGGTGATAGCAACACGAAACGATTTCCATTAGTGCGAACTAGAAAAAAAATTCAAAAATTTTCTCATTTTCAGGATTTCGTTCAACTCTCTATAATCATAGTCACTTCTACGTTTAATATCAACTTTTTTAGTTACCCTCCCTCACTTTACGATAGATTTGTGACAATTTTATAAGCTTTCTTTTACTATAAACACAAAAAGAGACGAAGCAACATTCTAAATGTCTATTAAAATAGCAGGGTATTGCAAAGCGTGTGTATATCTTATTTTTGTGAGCGAACAGTGCGTAGTGTACAATTGAAGCGCCATATTCATATCTGGTGTATGTGATCTCTCTCTCAAACCTGATCGATTGTTAACGATTGTGCTAGCTGAGAATTTATATCGATTTCTGCCGTATATTGAACTGGTATTTTGATTTTTCGAGGTAATTCCTCCTCAATTGTCTATAGAATAAATAGGAGGGGGAAAAATTTTTAAGAAATATGATTTTAAATATATGTGCACGGTTTATTCAAACTTGTTTCTCACCGACACTAACGATTGTTTTGTATTTGGTGAACGAACAATCTATAGAGCGCAAGGAAAAAGAAGGGATGTAATAAATAACAATCTGATAATAGTTTTACTTTCTTTTTTATTTCTTTCTAAAGTTCAAATTCGAATAACTTACTTCTCGTTTTTTTGTCAATTTTTGAATTCGGTCATCATAGACTTTTTCTGTACGTTTCTTTTTCTGTTTCTTTTTTACTTCTTTGTGAAACAACTGTTCTGGTAGTTCACCTTCGGGATCTGAATCACTTTCAGACGAACTAAAAAAAAAAAGAAATTAATAAAAATTTTAAAATTCATTTTACACACCCTCCTTTACCTTGAAACATCGACAGCTATAGTATCTTGACATTGTTGCAATACGTCAAGACAATCACTCAACGATCCCATTATGTCTTCGTTTTTGACACCAGAAACATCATCTGTAGAAAAACATAAATGTGTTAGTTATAAATGATATATGAACAGACACTAACTTACCAGGATAAAGTGTCGGTAGTAGAGAAACGGGTACTTTTTCTTTGCCTAATTTTTTTAGAACATTGTGTGTAATATCAGAAAAAATAGAATTGAGACGACTAAATTGAACATTTCATTATTTGAAAGAATTAAATTCTTCTTTTAGTATTATTTTATCTACTTTGAATCGGCTAATGCTTCCATGTAATGATGTAATGAATGACATATACAACGTCCGAAATCTTCATAATCTTTTATGTTAAAATGACATGGTTTCTCTCTAAATTATATACATAATTTAATTTAAATATATAATATTCACAATAGAAGAATATAAATCTTACACAATACTAGATCCAGCAAACGATGCTTCTAATGTAAAACTATTTTTAATACACATTTCTTTCCACATGACCACTCTGCCAGTTGACTCTTTACATCGATCAATATGAAATTTACAATAATCAAATGCAAACATTTCAGGTGCCTAAATAAAAAATTCATTCAATTTATTTTATTCAATTTAATTATTTATATTACCGTTCTTGACATAATAAATGGTAATACTCTAGCATTTAAAAAGTTTTTCATATCACGATTGGTTCCATCACATCCATCACAACCATAGGCAAATACATTTGATTTTCGACTATGTCCATGTAAATCACAAAATGCTAAAATCTAAATTATTAACAAAAATAATTTTGTTTTTTTATATTTAACATTCAATAATATTAATAATGAATAGATAATTTTTTTTTCTTTTTACTTCATATTGTTGTTTTTGTAAATTTGCTATAAGTTCTTTGATATGATAAATTGTGGGAAATGTTTGCTGTCTTGGATGTCGAAAATTTCGATTCATATCTTTACCCGTTAATGAACATCTAAAGTAATGAAGACGATTTTTTATTTACAGTTGTTTTCTCTTTAACTACTATAACTATATCGAAGACAAACACTGATGTTCGGAGTAGTTGGAAGAGTCTTCAATCAGATAAGGTGTATACAAAAAATTGTATTAAAATTTTTACAAAATTAAGATTTGAATATTTTAAGAATTCAAGTCTTAGGATTCTGATGGAAACATTTTGTGATTTTAAACAAGCTAGACGTCATCAATCTCTTTACGACGTTTTCGAATCGAACTATGTCCTCAATTTACGAAAGGCTTTGTCACGACAAAGTAAGCAAAATCGATAGAAACAGAGCAAAAACAATAGTGAAAAACAATCGGAGAGATTTTACTTAAATTACATGTGGATCAGTGGAAAAACGTAGCAGAGAGCTGAGCGATGTCTGATTCTGCTCAAAAATACTGTTCACAAAATGTTTCCATCAGATTCCTAAGTCTTGAGTTCGTGGAGTTTTCAAATCATAATTTTGTAGTCCAATTTTTATATACACCTCATCTGATTGAAGACTCTTCCAACTACTCCGAAGACTAGTGTTTGTTTTCGATGTAAGTATAGCAGTTAACGAGAAAACAATTGTAAATAAAAATCATTTAAATTTTTTATGTGTCACTTTATATAGAGTAGTGGAAGAAAAATAAAATTTTCTCGATAATATTTAGTACATGTACCTGTAGTTTCCAATTATTACACCATCTGGATTTAGCATTGGTACAATTTTAAAAACCAGTAGTTTTCTTAATTTCTATAAAATTAAAATTTATTAAAATTTTATGTAAGTTAATTTAAAATAGAACTTTTATTCGCTTACTTGTGCAGCCATATCGTCAGAAGTGATAAAATCTATAATGGAATTATATTATCTAATAACAGATCAACTTATTAAAATATTTATGGATAACTTACCAAGTAAACCACGCATCATATAACTTGCATTTGTTTCACCAGGATGTACTCGTGCCGTAATAAATACAAATTTTTTCTGTGTTAACGGTACAGCTAAAAATTTGAAGATAAATTAAATTTTTTAATTAAAATAATTAATTAATAAAGAAAAATTAATTACATTCATCTGTCACTGTCATGATAAAACAACTATTTCCAGCTCTTGTTTCACATAAAACATCGCGACGAAGTATATCACGTGGTCGAGTTAATGATAAATGTTCAAGATCATCTTTTAAATCGGTAAATGTGTATGGATAACAATGAGCAATAAAACAAGTATCACCTGTATATAAAAATTCCTAGAAAAATAAAACAAAAAAAAACGTTTTTGATTATATTATCGTATATGTAATGTAAAATTATGATATACGTACTGTTTGAAAATCTAATTCAAAATAATTTAAATCTCTTTCTAATAATGGATTGTATGATCGCTGTTTATATTCACTGTAATTAATATGATGGCCAACACGGTGCCAACCTTGTTGTTCCTTTTTAGCACCAAGTTCGGAAAACAATAAAATTTGCATTCCTAAATTAAATACAAACACAAAATAAAATTCATAGTAAGAATCTTTGATACTTTCTAAAATTATCCTAGTAAGATTTTAATTAATATTCTTAAAGATTTGATAATTCGTTTCATTCATTCATGCAACTATATAAATAACATTGAAAATAGAATTAAATTTTACGTTTTCAATTTTCTTTCAGCCTCTACTTGTACACTTGTTCTCTCAAAAGTTGTCAACAGCATTTCAACCACTGTCCGTCCAATACAAATCAGAATTTAGGATTGGATGCTCAAAAATATACAATTTCTCTTCGTTCTTTTATGTCTGTACAATTGATGTTTTAAACAGTGTAGATTAATTTTAATATTTGAAAATTTTTAGTGAAACTACGGAACATTATTGAGATCCAAATAGAGTCTCACTCAACCGTGAAAAACAAGAGAGACAGTAAACAATATTTTGGTAAGATCTTTCTTACTAAGACTTTAGCAAAATCTTATAAAATCTTAAAATTTTCTGTTATTACAATTTTAGTAAGCGGCGTGGTCAGGTAACTCTGCCACCGTAGTAAAATTTCGTGACGAAATTTTGAAGTTTTCTTCTTCTTCTCATTTTTTAATGAAACAACTTCTACAACTGTGCAACATGTGAATCAAATGAAATGCGTCCAGATTCTGCATGATCTTTCATTTAGGAAATATAAAGAAAATACGAAATACTCTTTTCTAACTTTATTTAGAAAACCTAACGTTTAGTATTTTCTCTGTATTTCTTAAATGAAAGATTACGCAGAATCTGAACACATTTCATTTGATTCACATGTTGCACAGTTGTAGAAGTTGTTTCATTAAAAAAATGAGAAGAAGAGAAGAAAACTTCAAAATTTCGTCATGAAATTTCACTACGATAGCAAAATCACATGACCAACTCGTAAGATGTGTCTAATATCTTAAACAAAAATGTTAGAAAGATTTGAGTAACTAAGGATATCACAAACGAACAATGAAAATATCATCATACCATCATTATATAAACTATTTTTTTTAACTAAATTAATAATTCTAAATCGATATGTTATTTTTGCAATCATATTTTGAATACGAAAATTGTACCATTGTGTATGCCGTCGTGTATACAAATCTGGTCGTAATACTAATTCATATTCAAATTGTCCACTACAATAGGAAAATAAAGACCAATAGTTAGATATTCAATTATACATTATAAATGACTATTTAAGTTGTGAGGCTTACACTCGTTTCACCTGTCTTAAATTTCCACCTTCAAATCTCGATTCAAATATTAATGGTGGACAAAGTTGTTCATTTTCACTTCGTTTTGGTACTTGATTACGATGAGATTTTTCCATATCATAAATGAGCATAGAATGTTTTAATGTATCCGTATATCGTAGCATAGCTGGCTGATTATCATATGTCTGTTGATGATTTGTAGGGTCTAAAAAGAATAAAAATAAAAAGAAGTTTTTCATATAATATAACACTCATAGAGAGAGAGAGAAAGAGAGAATTGATTACACACGGGATGAACATGTATAATACTGTTTAACAATTTTATTTCGATTGTTATTCTTTTTTAAATTATTATTTTCATTAATTGAGATAACATTAAATGATGGTGTTGGATGTTTAATAGGATGAGCCATTGGCCAGAAAGGACCATGCATATCAACAATAATTCTTGTATTAATAAAACAATAATCAATTTTAATTGAACCATCTGACATTAACAGTTTACGTTCTTCAAATAATCGACTATGAGCATGAAAATTTAAAAATAATTTTTTACTTGATTGAATTCTATCATCACTAACAATATTATTTTTCCAAATTTCCTCTTCATCATTATCATCATCAAACACATTTAAACTATTATCAATTTTAATCGGATTTGTTAAATTAAAATCATCTCGAGACCATATCGATTGACCAATTCGAATCGTTTTCATTTTAAAATAGACTTGAAATGGTTTTCTTTTTAAAATTTTTATCAGATATAATAATAATAATAATAACAATAATAACAATAATAAGTGAAAAAACACGAGAGTAAAGAGCAAAATGTAAATGAATTTTACTTTCACCCGAAGTTATTTGTTCTTTTTATTATTTTCTTTCGATTGATTTCATATTAAATGAAATTTGCACATTTATTATTTATTCAATCATAATCGAGTGTGTGTGTGTGTGTGTGTGTGTGCGATACATTTCATGATCATATAACATACGCATACAGTTTAATCAATCAACAAAGAAACAACAGAATTGTTTATTTTTTGTGCATAATATATCTTTATCAAAAAAGAAAAAGATGAAGAAAACACGATTCAATCGATTTTTACTTTTATTTCATTCTTGATTTTCATATATATAGTCTGAAAAAGATAAATGACTCGTTAAAATCAAGTGATTGAATCAATTTTTTTCCTCTTTTTCCTTCTTTTTTGAATATATTTGAAATATGATTTTAGAATTATATGATTATATGAAACTTGTTCATTTCTAAGAAATTAAAAATTTCTCATGTTTTAGTAGTTGTCAATGGAATGACATAAATGTTTACTTTATACACAGTTTGAATAATGTTTAGACAAAAAAGTTGATATTATCGATGCATGACATTGCATTCTAGTCCAATGAAACAACTAAAAAAAAATCTCACTTACTTAGATCGGGCAACATTAAATAATATTCTTTATTTTGATGTAAATGTGAATCTAATTTCGGTGTTGGATGTAAAATTTTAAATTCTTTTGGCCAAAATGGTCCATGTTCATCGAATACAATGCCATATTTATTTATAAATTTTCCATTATCCAATCTTTTACAATCTAGTGCAATTAATAAATCTTCTTTATTTGATTTAACGATACTATTACCAAGTAGAAATGAATTATCATATTTGTTTTTATTCGAATCACCAATATAATAACGTGAAGATGAATCAAATATTTGTGACCAATGATCCATTTGACCATCCTGTGATGAATTTTGTTGTTGTTGAATATTTCTTGAATGACGACGACTACAGGGTGGAAAATTTTCCATATCAAAATTCGATGAATATCCATTTTGATGGTTTGCAAAACGTCCATGTCCATTGAAGTATTGTTTTTGATTTAACGGATGTAAAATCTGTTGATTTCTTAAATCAATTTCACTCCATGGATCGGTGTATGCAATTGATGATACAACTGTTGTTGTAGAAGTTTGATCACTAAGATAACAAATTAAAATCTTTCAATTCGATATACAACAGTAGAATGTTCTATATTTTTGATATTTTTGATGCATTTTGATTATGGTCACATGTTCAGTTTTACATAAACTCTAAAAATCTCCACAGTTTTAGATAAGTGAAGATATATGTGAATCATTTGAATTTTATTTCCGTTTTGTTAAAAGGTCCTGAGGAAAGAGAGAATCGATCAACAAATGGGTGTCCATGAAAAAGCTGTCATCTATACTTTGTACAATTTCCGTTTGATAAATAACATATTTGTGAAAGCCTTAATTGATCATTTTTCTCAGTCGAGGCAGCGCTCCTTAAGATAGGGGAACGCATCTAGTCTTACTTTTTCAAATTTTCATTCTGATTCTTTTAGTCCAAAATGGAGATTTTACATTTGACTATTTACTCGTAAAGTCGAAATAAATAATTGTTAAGAGTATTCTAGAAAATCAGATATCACAGTTTCATCAATCAATTTCCGAAAAAACAACTCGAAGGCATAGACCAGACATTTCTGAACAAAATGGCACGTCTCTCAGCTCTCCATGACGATCTTTTTAGTTTCTTGCATGCAATTGACGAAAGGCCTTGGAGACATTTTTCATGTTTCTCTGTCCATTTTGCTGGTTTTTATTGTCTATGATCTTTCGTCAATTGCATGCAGGTAACTCAAAAGGTCGTCTTGGAGAGCAGAAAGATGTATTATAGTTGAGGAAAAAGATCAAAACCCAAAGTATACGATCACTTTGTCCATTTTTTTTTAATGCCAAACAAACACAGCTCAAGGTTTATTTCGAAATGTGGGTGTGCTTTTATACAGCCTCGAAAGCCTTGAGGCGCCGCTGACTAGAGGAGTATACTATCAGTTCAAACATTGTCAATACTATCGGATCATCACCGGCACCAGGATATAAAACTAAAAAAATCATTTAGTTTCTCGAGATGAAATTCTAATATAGTTTTTTGTTTGATTCGTTTCATCATATTGTCGATGTATAATCGTAGACAACTTTTTTTTCTGAATGATTTAAATATAATTTTATTCAAAAAGAATGTATTTGGCTTCTTTGTAAATTTCAAATTCTTTGTTCTTTTTTACAATTTAGAAATAAAAACGCCTAAAGAAAAATAGGCGTAACAAGAATCTGTTTCTTTAGACAAAATAGTTCGAATAAAGAAAACTGTCTATCACCAACTCAAAAATATTTTTTAAACATTTTTCTAGACTTAACGCAGACGAAAATGAATTAAAAACACGCATTCCGCTCGACTGACTATGTACTAACGAGCCCTCTTTCTCAGAACTGTATGTTATACTGCTAATAACACGATCTCATCTAGCTAGGAGTTAGTTACATTTGTCTTAATTCACAATATTAAACCTGTGTCTAAAAATCAACAGCATAGACTTCTTGTTCGTCGACACATACAACAATTCTCATTTCTATTTATAAAACATAAAGTCATCGTTGGGCTTCGAGTATAGAGAGGACAAATATATCAAATATGTCATGATTATTCTGTCCATTTTTCAATTATGTATGTCTTGTTTTAAGACGCTTATACATTTTCTGCTATTTTTACAATGTTGAATCAAAACATAACATTTTTATTTACTCAAGAGTAGGTTATCACAATACAAACATCATTTAAAGCCTCCGTAAACGTTAATCGATGTTTGTATTTCTTGCCCCTGAAAATGATAACAGAAATTAAACGTATATTAACCAAGGCTGGGCGAGTCCGCAGTGTGTATTTTCTACGGAGCACGCGAACATGTAATTTTTATTGTTGGAAGCCCTTTCTTTTCGCGCAAAATGACTTTCGAGCACCCAGAAATTCATATCAATCAAAAATAAACAAAAATTCGAAAAAAGCTTTTTCGGCCCAAAACACCTAGAGTCCTCTTTTGCCTAAAAATTTCATTGAAAAGTTTTTTCCTCGAAAATTAGACATTTTATACACTGTTCGATGCCGTTAAATGCGCTGATACCAAATATAACCTTATTTTGTATAAAAGTGCTCCTAAACCGAGAAAATTGAAAAATACCTAAAAATCAAGATCTTTTGCAAAATTCACTGTGCGCTCTAAGAATGTTTGCGTTAACAGGGATGGTAAAGGGTAGGCAGAAGAACATTTTGGCAAAATGTGGACCTTCGCTAACTTTCGCGCACTCACTTTACCAAACATAGTCATTCAGAAAATCAGTTAAAAAAGCTTTTATTTTTTTTCTCGAAAATCGTAAGTCTGAATTAAGAAATATTTTCTTAGATAGATACCGGGCGGTGGGCAGATTCAGAATATATATTGCGTTTGTCTACCACTTTGTTCAGTTTTGTGAAAAATTAATTTTCTCACAGATACCAATGTTTTATAATTTTTGATTGGTGATTTTTCCACACTAGTTAAGTTTAGTAAAAAAATTTTATATGCCATCAGATAGAGCATGTGTTAAAGTATATTTAGCACTATTTCAATCGATGAAAAGTCGATTCTCGTTTTTTCATCTAATGTCTGTCTGGATACACACTGTGGATACCGGATCCACGTCCTTGAAACGCGATCGCGAGTCCGAGTCCATTTCAAGTTCGATTTTTCCAAACCTTTTTGGCTATCGCTGTTTATATTTCTTTTCTCCCATGCCACACAACATATCAATCTTATTATTATAAACAGAAACTTATATAAGTAAACTTCGATTACATATCCCATATTGATATGGAAAAACTGAAAATTTTTCTGTTGATTTATGTAAGAACTTAAATGAATCGGACTCGAAACACAAAAACTCAAGTTGGAATCGGAGTTTTTCGAAAAATCTAGCCTGGACTCGGGCTAGCTCAACCTTGATATTAGCTAATCGGAAAAACTTTTTAAAACATATTAACATGCTTTCGACAGCATAGATATTCCATTTTTTTCGAAAATAATTAAAAACTACATTAGAATGCGTTAACTCATCGATACGTATATTTCTCAGGCGGAATCTATCATACTACAACAGCTACTGATTTTACAACCGGGTCTTACTGTATATTCTTCAGTAAAATCGTACAAGCTCTTGCAGAATCCTATAGCTTCTTGTCATAAGATCTTACAAGATACATTACAATCCTACGAAATTTTATCGTAATGTCGTCGTGGATCTTATTTTACAAAAATCCACGTTGGCGCTGCAAGCAAGCAAGCATCCATTCTCCACTCTAAAGCTAGTCCATCTATACAGTTTTGGTACCAGTAAACTCTAATACAAAGTAAAACTAATGAGAAGAGAAAAAGAGAAAAAAATCGTCAGTTTTCAACTACAGGAAAGGAGTCACTATGTTCTATAAACTTGAACCTCATCTAATTTCCGGTTTTCAAAGGGAAAAAAATGAGACTTTTCCATTAATGTAAGATATTATCAAGACATCGATCACGTGTAAGATATTCAACGTAAAAAAGATGAATTCAAAAATGAAAGTCAACGCGGTTATCTTTGCAATAGTTGCGAATTGCCGTTTGGATGGCATAGTTAACGAACTCAACCCAACTCACAGTGGGCATCCAGGCGGACATTAGGCGAAAAATTAAAGTGGCTCATTTCTTTAATGTAACTAGTGCAAAATGTAGCCCTTGAAATTCTCTATCGAATGGTGTATGGATGTCTATTTTGATGTCGACTCCTTCGAGGAGAAAAATGAAGTCGAACACTATATGACAAAACT